AAAAGTAAAATTTTTTATTTTTAAATTGTATACAAAAGCCGGACAGATTTTCAACTCCCTTTGAACTTTCTGTACATACCAAGAGCTTTGATTAAGTAGGCCATTCGTTAAGTCAGACTATTTATCAATTCCCCTTGAGAATCCAACTTAATGGGACTCCACTGTATATGCAAATTTCTCCCATAGCAGTTTTAAGTTTATAATTTAAAGGGTGTTATTTTTTTAATCGCATTGTTTCTTCACTAATGAAAATCTGGAAAAGAAGTTTCCGAATATAGCTGGACAATATACTAAGTAAATTAAACTGCGTATAATTCAAAGAGCTTTAATAACACTGCCCAACAGTGATTTTGTATCGGAACCAAAATTAGTTATTTCTTATGTATTTCCATCTGCTGAATTCAAAAATGACATTAAAAATGACGTATTAGCTCTAGTTTAAGAAATAAAAGCAAAAATTTTCTCTCGAGGCAAAGGTTTAATTAAGCGATCGCGAAATGAAAAATCCGGAAAAATATCAGGTCTTCAAAATTTTAGTTTACGCAAAACCGTGTACATTGTTTTCTAGGGGGTATCAACTTAAATTTGTTAGGGAAAAATATAAAATATAAAATAATAAACTTACGACTGCAAAAGTAATAACACTCTAGTACTAACTGCATTATAAAAGTAATAACACTATAATGGTGTAATTACTTTTATAACGCACTTATAACTTTTATGATTCATTCTTAGTTCAAACAACATAAGTAATCCCAAATTTTAATTGAAGTAGAAAAGCCTCTAGAAAAATAGAGTGGATATTTAAATAATATTTAAAACTTATTAAAGAACTTAAACAACCTAATAAAAACGTACTATATAAACAGTAAGCATTACGAAAAACGTTACTAATAGTCCGTAAAAACGCACGTTAATTATAAAATCAACCAATAAAATGATTTTGTTGATTGATTTTAAAATTTGCGCATTATGAAAATAAGTTTAGCATTATGAAAAACGTAATTAAAATTACGTTTTTCATAATGCTAAACTTTTCATAAAGCTCGTTTATATTGTTGTTTTAGTGTATTTGTAAAAGTTCCTGAAGTTTTTAATAATATTCGATTATCTACTTTATTTTTTTAGATGTTTTTTACATAGATTAAAGTTTGATTACTAATGTTGTTTGAACAAAGAATGAACTTTTAAAGTTATAAGTGCTTTATAAAAGTAATAATACTATTATAGTTTTATTACTTATATAATGCAGTTAGTGACTGGAGTGTTATTACATTCGTAATCGTAAGTTTATTGTTTTGTTTTGTTTTTTATAACTTTTTCGCAAACAAACTTAAAATTATTTGCTAAGTACACGGCTTTGCATAAACTAAAATTTTGAAGACCAGATATTTTTCCAGATTTTGCAAATCGCGATCGCTTAATTAACTCTTCCAAGGGTAACTTTCATTTTTTGAAAAAAGAGATTTTTGTTTTTGACTATCCATAATGTTTGATTCATGTTTAAAACTTGTGATACTAGTTATGTGTGTTTGCTAACGTTTCTGATCTAATCTATTCATAGTTTTTTTTTTCATTTTCTAGTGTAAAATTTTACAAATCTACTCATCTAAAATTTTACAAATGCCAATGAAGTGTGTAAATTTAGTGGATATTTTTTGTTACATTTGTGGTGAAATAACATTTTTCTCACAGAAAAGAACTGTGACACCTCTTGTGCAGACTGCTTACCAGCATTACTTCAATATGAAGGTAAGGAACCAGGATAAGTCATGGGCTCCACATATATGCTGATCTTTGAGCCCGTTGAGCGGGGTCTAAAATTTGATCTTTGAGCCCGTTGAGCGGGGTCTAAAATTTGTGCAAATTAGTTAAACTTTCGTTTTTATTGATCATAGAGTACACCCACAGCATATGGAAAACAGTGCCTTTTGTTTTTCAAAAATGAGGGGCGTTTAGCCTACCCTAATATATTCATATATATATATATATATATATATATATATATATAATATATATATATATATATATATATATATATATATATATATATATATATATATATATATATATATATATATATATATATATATATATGATATATATATATATATATATATATATATATATATATATATATATATATATATATATATACAGGCCCGCCGCGACCCTTAATGACGCCCAGGGTCAAAACTTATCTAGCGCCCTGTCATATTGATGTAATTCAAAAAAGTTTAGGTACTGTCCAAATACTGTCTTTTTTTTTTTTTTTAACTAAATTCACTTTTAAAGTCCGAGGGAGTAAATACAGTCAAGGAGGCTTCTATTTATTTTTAAAATAAATTTGAAATAAAAGTAAAAAAGAAGCACAAGTTGACAAGTTACTGAACTTTATTACATTGCGAGTAACGAAGAGTTTTAAATGTAATAGATATTTTAATTTCTTCATGAGAATTTTATTCTACGGGCATAATTTAAAGCAAAGTTTGGAATGACCTCGTTGTAGCACAGATATTTTGCAAGATCGTTTTCAATAGATATAAGTAAGAAATTGGTAAGCCGGTCTTGACTTATTGTAGATCTTAATGTTGTCTAGACCAAGCTTACCGAAAGATCTCTCTTTCGGCAATGGAAACGAGAATTGTGTTAAAAATACGTAACAAAATGTCTATTGATTCGAAGATAGACTATAGACCTTTTTAATAGATTCTATTTAATAGCTCCATTAAAGTGAACTATTCTTTTGGACTGAAAAGCTTGGCGTGCTTCAGAATATCCAGATGATGGCACTCTTAATAACTAGCTAGACCGGAGGTAACCAAATGTGCTTCATTAATTAATTTGGGCCAAGAATATCTAAATTCATAAGATCCTCAATAGGAACCCTCATAAGCTTCATCTCTTCATCTAAAGTAATGTTTCCTGATTGAAATGACACGCTGACAATTGCTTGGTGCGCTTCAAACCAGAATGTTGTCATGATAATAAACTCAAATGAATAAATCCATTTCTCCAAACTTTTATGTCATTCAATAGATTAGCAGTTAAATCAAGTACCTGAAGTTTCTGCAAAGAAAAAATAATTTCTCTAGGTTGCTTAACCAACGGCTTCAAATTCTCAATCCGTGCACTCCATCGGGTTTGTGAGGTTTAATGAAGAGACAAAGCAGTTGTCTAGGTCAAGATTTGACATTGTATAGGGCTTCCACTAAAAAGATTGTAGAGTATCTGAATCCGGCCTATATAGTTCTTCATTTCTAGAGAAGATACAAGGGAATGAACACCAGCTAGGTTAAGGTTATGAGCGCTGCATAGTATGTAGAAAGCTTCAGGATTTCTCTGAAGGATGATCGCTTTTACTCCTTTATACATACCAGACAGATTTTGGTACCGTTGTTGTACCCTTGACCTTGACAGTTCTTCAGATTGATGTCATATTGATAGTAGAAATCCATAATTATCTCGGCAATATCCACAACTTTCTTTTGTTTAAGATTTTTGACCTTAAGAAAGCGCTCCTTAACTACCTGTCTTTTATCAATACCATTGTAGACAAAGCAGAGAACAAATGCAATTTGCTCACCGTGGACGATCTTTCGCACTTTTTTATAAATTCATTTTGAGAACTCCAACCCAAAAAATGCACAATAATATGTTTACCTTCATGTTGATACTAGGAAACCTCTTTCTAATGTAACTAAAGGGTCTTGTTGTGCTTTGCGAGTAGCTCTAGAGTTGCAAGAAAATTACCGTTATCGTCTTCATTGATCATTTTTGAAGTCTAAAACGACGATTTTAATACATACATGTAATAATACATGTTTACACATATAAACCATGGCTTTCTGTTTAATTATAATAAAAATAAATTATGACATAAATAAAAATATAATAATTAACATTCACTAATATACCTCAAAAGCGTGATGCTAAGAAGAGAATTACATCTAAGATGCACTTTATAATTTCACGCTGCCTGGCTGCCTCATTTCTTATCAATTTTTCTAAACTTGAATCAATCTTGCACTGGTTTCCCTTTTAGCGCTGTTTTCCACTTAATGTAATAGTCTCGATGGATTGCTTTGGTGGCATTTTTTAACTCCATTGATGCCACCATTCCATATCTAATATATATATATATATATATATATATATATATATATATATATATATATATATATATATATATATATATATATATATATATATATATATATATATATATATATATTTAATTATATATGTCCTTTTTTAACCTAGCAGGCCTTAAAAGTAATATATAATAATGTGTATTGTTGAGTAAACAATTCATTTTTAAATTACTAGTTTAAAGAGTTTTTCATTAAAGCCCTGCATATCTATTTTATAAAAAAAAAAAAATTTTTCATTTATGCGCCCCTTCTGATCCTGCGCCCAGGTAAAAAGTACCCAGTGACCCTCCCCACGCGGCGGCCCTGTATATATATATATATATATATATATATATATATATATATATATATATATATATATATATATATATATATATGCGAATAGAAAATCACTTATCAAGTTTTATTATTTTACACTGTGTTTCATCTATACTCATCAAAAGACTCATAAAAAACTATCAGCATTTCTGATGAGTCTTTGCACAGTTATAAAATAAATAAAATTTGATAAGTGGTAAGTAGTAAACAATTTTTAACAAAATATGCAAAAATTTAGTTACAAATATCAAACGCGCTCTTAATGATAATAAAAACAAAAAATAATTGAATATATTTAAGTATAAAGTGACCGCCTGCATTTAATTCTTTTTTTTTTTTTTAATCAAATAACGACAGGATTAAACATCAAACATAAAATTTAATGCGGACGCTTTTCTGATTTGAAACTCAAAAATGTATATGCAATAAAAGAATAAAAGCAAGTATAGAAAATAAGTTGAATAGCAGGTGATAACAGTTGGGTGTTTAGCAAAAAAAAAAAAAATTAAGATTGAACATTAAGCTTGAAAAATACTTAATAATATTGATAATGTTAACTATTGAAACTAATAAATAGTTTAAACCTTTAGTGAGCTAATGAAGCATTTACAGATATAAACAATTTTTATTTTGTTAAAGAAATTATGTTTCATTATATTTCAAAGTTGTACGCTGAGTTTGTTGGCAAGACATAAAACAATTTAAGTGATAAAAGGGTAATATTATTTACAAGTTATATTTAAAAAAACAATATTAAAAAAAAAAAATCTACTACTACTACTACTACTACTACTACTACTACTACTACTACTACTACTACTACTACAACTACTACAACTACTACTACTACTACTACTACTACTACTACTACTACTACTACTACTACTACTACTACTACTACAACTACTACTACTACTACTACTACTACTACTACTACTACTACTACTACTACTACTATTTTATATTTTTGATTATTTTTACTAAATTATTTAGAATGAAATTTAAAAGTATATTATATTTAATTATTTTTATTATATTTAAAAATTTATAAACATTTTTATACTAGATTATAGTCAGATAACATAGGTAGTGGTCAAACCACTTAAGAAGTGATCAGTGTACTTAACGAAATTGATTTAACAAGTTTAGGGTATAAATACAGGCGGTTAAACCATACACCAGTATAAACACAAGTGGCTACTTAAGTATTAAAAAATTTCAGTCAGAAGGTTTTAAGCTTTTTAATTCACTAAGATTATAATCTTTTCTGAACAAGCTAAAAACAATGAAGCAAAAAAAAATTGTATTAAGATTGTAAAAAAGAATATGAATAATAACACAATGCGCATTGCTCAGCCTAAATAGGTATTTGAAAAACATTTTGACTTTAAAATTTTTATATGCATTAATAGACATCTACCGAAAAGATTTTAAAAAAATGTTTGAAAACCCAGTTATGTGGATTTTTGAACACTTTTGAACTCAAAGATTTTTAGTACCTTTCTTCATCGCACACTTTAAAAGTATTTTTGTTATAAAATTACAACCATCGTCATCAATTAATTCATAATAGCTCAACAGAGTCAATAAGTTTGTATGCGACCATAATTTTTTTGTGGAATCTGGAATGCGCTTCCTACTGTGTTCAACAATCAGTTTCTGCATTTCAGATTTATTTTTTGCAATAGATTGATTAAAAGTACTTATGACGGCATTTGTATTTTAAAAACATAGACTTGATGGCATCACCAAGTCCAAGTGATAACAATGCAATAGAATTTATGCGCTATTTTTTGCCGGTCTAAACTCTATTCCTTGAGCTAGTACTGTCAACTGTTCTCTGCCAAACAGATGTTAAGTTCATTGAGCACAACTGATCTGGTTGTTGGTTAAGCTGATATTAAGTTCATTGAGTCTAACTGACTTTATAACTTTAACACTACACAATGAATATTTGGTATACCCTACTATGAAATGTGGCTTTAACCATTGGCGTTGAGTTTTACTTTTTCTGGATGGACCGCAAACTATTTGGTTGGAGTTGAAAATCTAAATAGTATGTATCAAGTCTTTTTAATGACATAAAAACTTCATTCGTAATTATTGAAATGAGGCATTGTAGAACGCAAAAAAGATCTTTGGGCTACGAAGACGAGACAAGACTTTAGGCTATGACAGATATAGGGTAACCTGGGGCAAAGCGAGACACATGGGGTAAAGTGAGACATTTAGGCTTCTAGCCTTGCACAGATTTTTTTTGTAATGCTACAGTATTTTTGGTTTATTATATTAAAAGTTTCATATTTTTTTAATACTTTAAAGTAGTTTCCATAAGTTTTTTCCAATAATATGACATAGAAAAGTGGGTGTAAAGCTTACGAGTTGTGTCAATTTGATTAAAAAATCAAAACTAATTTTTTTTTGTGTGTGGAAAAAATCCAGGTACGCTGCCATTTTTTACCACACAACAGACATATTATTAAGTTTGTAATCAATTATTTGTTATCTTTCAGCTCTCATTCCTCTTGTTATGTCAGATTTTTTACTTTCAAAGATATTTAAGAAATATATAACTTCACATTTATTGGGAAAGTGCGACAACGCTAGTTACTGAGAAAGATCGTCAAAGTAAATGTTAAGGAAAGCAAGTTTATAAATTTAATAAATCGTCAAAGTAAACGTTTTCAATAGCAAGTTTATAAACTTGGCAAGTTTAACTTGCTATCATCATTTTATAAAAAGAACAATAAAAAAAAAAAAATAGGAAAAAAAACAACAAAAAAAAACAATAAAAAAAAAATAACTGGAAAAGAACAATGACAATAAATTAAATGAGAGAAATATAAAATAGAACAAAAAGAAAACAAAACTAATGAAATGCTTGATTGAAAAAAGATGTAAACAATGAAGAGGAATGGTTTTGTCCAGTTTGTCAAGAAAAATGGTGCAATAATACTCAAATCGACTGGATGGCTTGTTGTGTATGCACTGTTTGAGTACACGAAGACTGTGCATTAAACGATGTTTGCTTTTTAAGTGTAAAGATTTTATTCAAATTTGTTGACTAACATGAAACTTTGCAAATGCATTTTTTTATTGATATTATTTTTGATTTTTATTATTTTGTTATTTTATATTTTTGATTGATATTTTTTTCTATCATTTTTTTTTTTTTTTGATTTAAAAGGAAAAATTACATTATAAAATGATACCTTTGTGTTTTTATTTGCGTTCTAATATTTAATCAGATCGAATTTATCAAAGTTTGCTTTAATTTTAATTGAAAATAATATTTTTACTTGTTTTTTTTCAAATAAAATCTGTCTCACTTTGCCCCAGGTTTTGGGGAAAGTGAGATAGGGTAGTTGTTGCCATTTTGAGTTTAATTATGTAGCAATGCAACAACCTATCACCACAAATATTTATAAAACCGTTAAATATATAATGTGCTAATGGCCTGCAAAATTTCTTGCGGTGAAAAGTGATACTTCTCAAGTTATGAACATTCTCCCTGAAAGAATGAATTGCTTTGATCCAGGTTACCCTACATACACAATTTTTACCAGCTTTACAAACTCTAATCAGTGAAATTAATTAAAAAAGAACACAATCGTGGTTTACCAGCATGCTTAAAACTGATTTAAAATTGTTTTGTTAAATATTCTATAATTTGAGATGATCCACAAATATTTTCCAATGGAGTTTTAGCCTTCCATAATCGTTAAAGTCATCTTTGTAAATAATCTTAACAAACCCTACATCCAACAACTGACCAATGATAAGTTTTTTGACATTTATTAAATGCTCTGTGGTCTCTGTAGTTTCAAATTGGATCTCAAATCTCTTTATAATGCAATCCAGAGATGCATAATAAAACTGGTCGCAGTGATCCACTGGATTTGTAGCAAATTTTGAAAAAATCACTATTAAAAAAAAACAATATTTACCTCAGAGTGCTGTATTACCATCCTCAATTTTGATGAAGATCATGCGCAAAATTTCCTGAATGAATAATTTATTTTCAAAATCCTTTAGCCAGTTGACAATGGCAGAATAGTAACTAGTAATAGATATAAATGAATGATTTTTTTAAGATTCAAAAATGGGGGCAAAATGGCCACTGTGATGTTGAAATTTTTACACCCTGTACAATGCGAAATTTTTTAACAGAATCTTGTGCTACCAAGTTAATATTATAAGCGTAGCAAGTAAACGTAAATTTCTTGCTTTGCTTTTTACCTCATTAAATTCTGTAATCCATGGATACTTCCAAACATTTTAGATGATCCGTGAAAATATTTGCCCCAACAATATGTATTAACAGGCTAAATTAAAAGAAAACGTCCGTCAAACAGTTTAACAAAGTCACAAGTGTTTTCCGTTCAGTAAAATCTCATGAAAGCTCCTTAATTTTAATTGGCAACCAAAATGTAAAATTGTGAATCCCTTAAACTTTTGCATAGGTTATGCAAAGTGTTGCATGAGCAATTTTTTTTTCATTTTCAGGTGAGAGCCACATTTACTTTTAAGAACGATTCAATCATTTCTTTAGTTCTTTAAGAATCTTCTGCTTGTATTTTTAGTAGCTCGCAAAAGTTTGAAGTATTTTTACCTTTTTCACAAAAAAACTAATTAAACTAATTAACATAATGATTGGTAGTTAACCTAAACTTTGCTTAAACAAAATGTAAAAATTACTAAATAAAGAAGAGTTCTAAACATTTCAGATAAAGTCATACAATTATGCATTATTTTTTTTTTTTTTTTTTTTTTGATGGTGATTAAATTGCTGGATAACGGTCAATCCAAATGCTGTTAAGGCAATCATACAAACGGATGCCCAACGAAGTTCCGATCGCTTGTTAGAGGCGAAAATTTATAATGCTTTCTTCTATTTAGAAAATCCGTTCAAAATAAATGCTTCGTACTAATCTCGTTCTCTTAAATAACAAAGAAAAGGCATGAGGGTAGCTTAGATGCTGATTGAAGAAACCAATTTATTTTTCTCGTATTCTGTAAAATCGATTTTTTTTTCTTTTCAGCTTAGTTGAAATTTCCTTTCATTTGCGGAAATAATTAATTGTTTTTAAAATTATTCTCTTTGTTATTTTTAAGTATTCTGCTTAATAATTTTTAACGGGTGGGGCTGAGCCCCAGCAACGGGGCCCCAAGCCCCCGTATCCCATTGCGTTCTACACCTAAGGTTTTAACAATCAACCTTTTTCCTTATTAGAAACTTTGTTCAAAAACAGTGATATTACAACATCTAAATATTGCATAAAAAAAGGTCATTCGCTGAGCATTACAAGCCACAGGGAATCCAACACTTAATAGTACATACACGTTAGTAGCAAAAATACAAAGTTCAGTCAAGACTTCTTCTGGTTCACCGTCATGTTGAACTCACTTCTAAATATATGAATTTTTAAGCAGTAGATAACTTCGGAAACCCACCTAACCATATGATAAACTACAGGTATTCTGGAAATAATACTGTTTTGCATTATTTAGAAGTAAAAAACTTTAAGACATTACTGGATCAGTTCTTTGGAGTCTTCTTTTGTCAAGTAAAAATTATCAATCATCACCAGCCTATGCTCTAATTAGTTCCCAAAATGGTTTAGTCAGCCAAGAATTATCTATGGCGCAAAGTTGGCATTGTTGGTTGTCAGCCAATTTTTTGAAATTTTTTAAAGAGACCAATGCTGAGTCTACG